CAAGCCCCGCATCGGGCTCCCTGCTCGGCGGAGAGCCTGCTTCTCCCTCTCCCTCTGTCTGCCGCTCTGCCTACTTGTGCTCTCTCTCTATCTCTGTTAAATAAATAAATAAAAATCTTAAAAAAATAAAATAGAATCCAAAGGCCTAATTTCAGGTTCTGACAACGTTGCTTATCGGTTGGTTGACTTTGGGCAAGGCTCTTAACTTCTTTGACACTTTGTTTCCTTAATGCAAAATGAGGATGGTGATATTGAATGAGAAGGATAAATGAGAATATATGTGTGATATGCCTAGCACAGTGGCTGGCATATAGAGGGTGATCTGTTTAATGTCAGGCGGCTCTGAGTGTGGTGGACCATGCAGGAGGGTACAGAGGAGAGTAGGAAGACCCAGAAAATGAACACTTGAAACAAAATTCCACTCTGCAGAAGTTGGTTCATATTATATAAAGTGAATGCCTCTCATTTAAAAAAAAAATTTTTTTTTTAAGTATCTAACTCGGGGGGTTTGGCTTCAGAATTTGCCGGGAGTTAGAGAGCATTTCAATATTTATTGAGCCCTTATTGTATATTAGACACAATAGCTGGCAATGTAATTTATACAGATTAACTCACTAATCCTGAGGGAAGTCAGGTGGTAGATTTACTAGTGTGTCTTCAGGTTCAGAGACATAAACAGTGGCCAAGATCACTCAGACTGTAGGCTGCAGAACCAAACCTGGCTATGTAACTCCAGGATCCCCTTTACCACACTAAGTATGTTGCCTCATGAAATACGTAGCTTTTTCAGTCCAAAGACTTGTGAAATTAGAGCTCTGTTGCAGGAACTCTTCAAGGCACTGTGTACCTGGGCAAATAATGCTGAGCCTAGCCACCTCTCAAAGGCACAATGCCAAACTGACCTCAGAATGCACTTTAAAGCACTCTAGGGGCGCCTGGGTGGCTCAGTCAGGGTTGGGTGTCCGACTCTTGATTTCAGCTCAGATCATGATCTCAGGGTCCTGGGATGAAGCATGCTTATCGGGGAGTCTGCTTGAGGATTTCTCTCCTTCTCCCCCTGCCCCTCCCCCCACTCACATTCTCTCTCTCTGAAATAAATAAATAATCTTTTAAAAAATAAGGCAATTCAAAAGATTGTTCTTTAATTTATTCCTGTTCCTTCTCTTTACACTCGAATTCCAAAGATTAAGCAAGCGAGAGTTTCCCCAGAGGGAGCGGTAACTAATAATAGCTCCCATTTCTGGAGCACTCATCTGTACTGAGTCTGTGCCTAAATGCTTTATGAGGGATGTCATTCATTCATCACCACAACTTTAGGAAATAGGGGCTGCCGGTATTTCCATATTTTAGACAGAGGTTAAGAAAATTGTCCATTTACATAGGTGGTGGGGGAAGGGGCTGGAATTTGAAGCTATGATGTTTCACTGTTAAAGGCACACTCTGGCTACCACAGTCCTCAGCTGGGCACTGTATTTGGTCCTCTTATGTGGTGAAGATGAAGTTAGAATTGCAAACACATTTATAAGATGATACCAAAGTTGTTTTATTTGGTTAAAAGAGGTGTTATTAGTTTGCTAGGGCTCCATAACAAAGTAGCACAGACTGGGGTGGGGGCTCAAAGAACAGAAATTTATTTTCTCATAGTCCTGAAGGCCAGAAGCCTGAGATCAAGCTCTCTGCAGGGTTGGTTTCTCCTGAGGCTTCACTCCTTGGCTTGTGGATAGCTATTTTCATGTTCACATGTCATTTCCCCCCTATGTGTCTGTGCCCTAATCTCTTCTTCTCATAAGGACACGGGTCATATTGGATTAGGGTCCATCTAATGACTTCATTTTAACTTAATCACCTCTGCAAAGATTCTATCTCCAAATACAGTCACATTCTGAAGTACTGGGGGTTAGGACTTCAACAGATGAATTTTGAGGGGATGCAAATTAACCCATAATAAAGGACTAATTAATTTCCTCATTATTTCTCTCCCTTTGGTTTTTGTCTTTAGCCGCTTATTCAGGGGTTGTTTGCACTGACCTTGGTCTTTTAAAGAAGATCCTGAGGTCATTGATTTACCTGTGCCTTACAATAGCAAGTGAGTCTTGTATTCCTGCTCTGAATCAGTGCATGCTTGTGGAGGGAGGTATGTGTTAGACAAAAGAACAGGGAAGGCAGACTTTTAGAACCAGCTCTATGATTAAACTTGCCCTGAAACCTTAAAGAAATCCCCTTTCGGAATGTTGGTCTAAATCAAATATTTTAAGCTCAAATACCCAGAGGCTTGACAGGTACAGTAAGTGGAGAAACTAGTAGGCGTGACAAAATAAGGAGTGGTGGGTAACCATGTGAAATTGGAGAACATTCCTTTTCAATGAAGCATACAATTCTCAGCTCCAGCCATTTGTGCCAGTTTGAAATAAAGGCCCAGTATTGCCAGACTTTCTACGTTTGCAGGAGAGACCATCAAGACTTTTAAATGAAATTTCCCAAGGTTTAAATGTTGACAATTTAAATTTTTCCTCCAAAGACCGAGAGCCAACAGGAATATGTCTGAGGGCCAGATCTGGGCCAGCTGAGATCTTAGTGTCTCTTTCTTGCTCAAAAATGCTCTGATGAAACACAAGATGGTACAGTTGATTGATAGGCACTAAAAAGGAGACATTACTTTAAGTCATGTGGCCCAAGGTTCTGTGCTGACAAGCAAACTCTAAGGGATGAACTTTTCATATATCCATCCTCTTTTCTGCAGACATTAACTCAATTGCATATTTAGCAGTCCCTTCCCCTTCTAGGAATGTGAAGTAGGGTTTTGGGGGCAGCATCAAAATTGGGGTTAGGTTATTATTGGTCTAAACTGGCTGAAAATAAACTGAGTCAGGTTTTATTGATCTATTCTGTGGTCTGTTGTCAAACAGTATTATGTGATTGCTGCAACCAAGGGGGAGGAGGCTTTATTGGTTTTGGTGGTAAAGTGATTGGATCTCAAAGCCGTTTGTGGAGTGGTTTTCTTCAGTCAACATTCTCATGGAAAGATCCTTCTAGCTTAAGCCAATTTTCACAATCAGACTTCAATAATAATAAATGAAGTTTCTTCTCCCATGTAAAAGGGGTCTTTGTTGGGATCTGGAGTGGCAAACAAGTTTCATTTCATGGGTCTGCTCTGATGGGTTGGAAATAGCTGCCTGGAATGTTGTCCTGGGAAAGACCCCCTAGGGAAGGTGTTGTGATATTAGTCTGGTCTGTCCTGAGTATGGTGATGTATATTTGTCAGTATCCTGATAGTCTCAAGTGACAGAAACCCAATTTCAGGCGGGAAAGATTGTTAGCTCACAGAACCCAGGACAGGATATTCACAAGAGAGGGGGTAGAGATGTGGATGGGCCTTGTGCCTTTCAAATTCTGGTGAGCTGAAACAAAGCTATTACTCTAACAAAGCTATTGGCTTCCTTTTGTGGAGGAAATTACCGTTCCATGACCAGTCATCTCTTCCCAAGGCAGGTAGTGACGTGAAAATTCTGTGCCGGCTTCCTGGGGACTGCCCACCATGCAGTCAGTGGCTGATGAATTTCTGGGTCCTCTGGGGCATCTGCAAACCCTACCGTGGCTTTCACCCTGCCCCTGGGTACCTTCGCTGCCAGCCTTTATCAGGGGTTGGAGCCCCGAGATGGAATGACTACAGTGTACCCGAGGAATTTAACTTTGCAAGTGATGTCCTAGACTACTGGACTCAAATGGAGAAGGTAAGGAGCCACCCATGATGGGAGGTGAGGACAGGAATGGCCTCACTGGCCTCATCATGCTCCCAGTAGGCTGAGGGGCACATAACCAGGAAAGGCTTCTGTATCAGCTTACCATTGTTGTGGGAAAAGCTCATGTTTGGGGGTTCAATTCTCAGCCTGGCCACTTTCTCACTTTTCTGAGCCTCAGTGGTCTTATCTGTGAAATGGGGGTAATCTCATTTAAGAAACAAACAAGATGGTGGGTGAAAATATCACATAATTGTGACCAAGTGCAAAGTTTCTGTTCACAAGGTCAGCAAGTTGATGTTAGTCTGAATTCTTACCTTCACCTAATGAGACTATGAGCCTAACTGGCATTTGTCTCATCAAACTTCGGCTTAACTTCAGGCTACTCTCATAGGGAAAGGACAGATCACCTGATTGTACACATGAGCATCTGGCATCTATAGCAAGTCATGTCATCTGTCGTTCTGTGAGGATGTCAAGTGCAACTGGATTCCTCCCTATCAACTGCCTACTTGAGCATGGCTTTAGGGTCTGTCCAGAGAAGAAAGTCTAGAGGTTACACGTCTGTGCAGAAAAACCCAAGTGCTCGGTTTGTCTTTCCCCAAGAGACAGATCAGAGAGTTAATATAAGATGGAGTCAGAAAGTTAATATGTTAATTAATTGAATTGAAATAAAATAAAATAAAATTTTTTAACAAAGAGAAGGGTAGAGAAATGTTTAACCTACACTTGTAACATATGGCCGGAGGTCATAAATAGTAAAATGATATATTTTTACCAAAAAAGAGGAAGTTCATATAATTTTAAATTTCCCATGAACCTGCATTTATATGTTAGTATTCAACTACCATGGGGGCTTCCTCCCCACCTCCTTCTTTTTCCTTTCTCTGAATTTCCATAGTAACACCAAGTAAAATAGAGGACTCAATTAGGGAAAGCATTTTTTTATATGCCATGTCAGGCACTTTGCATTTCATACTATGATTAGATGGGCACTCTCATCATCTCCATTTTCCAGACAAGAAAACCGAGGTTCCAAGGGTTTAAATAACACTCAGAAACCACCACATACCCAATAAATGAAGGAACAGAATTTGGATCCAGGCTAAGTCTATAATACTTTATTTAACCTGGTCTCACAATCTGATGATGCCAAACATCTCTGCCTTCAGACTCTAAAATGACTTTTGTCACTGTGCTGACCAGTAATCTAGTTAAGAACTTTTGAACCATGAGACAGGCTGGAGAGGGAGGAGGTAGAGAGGAAGAAGTGATACCATCACTTTTCCCCTGATTTATCTTTATATAGTCCTTTTAGAGATAACCACCAAGTAAATAGACCCCAGGGATGCTTCATCTTTGTTGGGTTTTCTATCTTCATTGTCAATCCTTGCCAATTTCTCCATGTCTCCAAATTCTCCCCACCCCCCCAGGATCCTTATCCCCTTAATATTTATTCTCACAACACTTCTCATCTGTCTGTTTTCACTTTTCCAATTTCCTTGATCATGATCAGTGTCTCTCTAGTGATGCATGGCGCCTGTCACCTAGCTGTAGCTGTCCTTCAATAAACACTGGTGGAATAAAAATTTTGAAACCTGCCTAACAAGCCCCATAGGTCTTGACGTTGTTTCTATGAAAGACCCTTCAGAGGGCCCACTGCAGTCCACTCTGGCTTCCTGGACCTCCCTTACAACTTAACAGGTATCACGCAAGAACTGATCCATGGCCCAAACAACAACACAACCAAAACCAGAATAGATTTATTTATTTTAACTCACATTTCAATGTATTTTACTTGTAAAATATGTTAGAAATCCAACATTTTTTGCGAAATCTTCTGAGTGTGTGTGTGTGTATGTGTGTGTTGGCAAAGAATTTGTTATAAGACAAAAGAGAGTACCTGGTAAGCCAGACAACATATGTCCAAGCATGGAATACACACCACCAATTTATAACCCCTGACTATTCTTGGAAATTAAATCCTTTGTTACTCTAGGCTCCTAAGATAGTACATACAACTTTTTTTTTTTTATTGGAGATAAAGATTTTATTTATTTATTTATTTTTTTTTTTATTCTTATGTTAATCCCCATACATTACATCATTAGTT